CACACGGGGAGCCGCTCCCGCCGACCTGCGGTGCGAGCCTTGCGCTGCTTCAGCCCCAGACTTCACTTCTCTTGCTGCCCTTGTTTTTAAACTACGGTTTTTTAAGGCGCTGACAAGATTTTCTCTCTCTCAGTATATGCTAGAGGCTTGATTTCTCAGTTCCCTCAGGGAAAGCTCCCTTGGAGACCTCCGGTTGCCTGTTTTTGGGGTGTCGCATCACTTCAGCCAACCTTCTCTTTTTGCTGCCTGTTGGCTCACTGCGAAGAGCGCGGCGGGGTCCGAGGGGTCCTGCACGCCCAAACCCAACCGTACTTCAGTCGTCATTCGTGACTAAGTGTCACTTGCTGTGACTAAGGATTGCAGAATACATTTGGTCTCCTCGGTAGTATGCATGGAAAGTGTTTTGTTTTGTTTTTTTTAAAAAAAACCCAAAACCAAACCTGAAATTGCTGAAGTGAACATTTCTTAGTAACTTCTCTGGTTTAGTTTTGTATTAAGAGCAGTTGCTTAAATTCTGCCCTTTCACAATAGTGGGGGTTAACGCTCGGCCCGTGCTGTGGCCTCCAAGGATCTCAAGCTTTTGTTGTCCTTTTAACTGACACTTTTCCTTCGACCCGCTCTGTTGCACTGGTGTGTCAGGTCTTGAACAAGATAAGACCTTTACTGCCTGAGCCTAGCCTGTCTCGGGCTTAGGCTCAGGCTTCCTTGCGCTGTGGTTTGCAGCAGAATCAGTACAAAGCGGTGTTGTTGCTTATGCTCAGATCATCTGTGACATTTAAAAACTGTTTGCAGCCTTTGTAGAGAAATTAATGCCACGGAATCATGTGGAACATGTAAAATTGACTGGGACTCAGACCAGCGGTACTCGTGGCATTTTTTTGGAGCCTGGAGAGCGCTGTGCTAGCACTTGGACCGACTCAGTCTCCTCGTATCCCGTGCTGGGATTGCCATCTCCCGGGAGGAGATGGTGTGAGGTGCTCCCTGGGCCTCTTCCTCTGTGGGAAGGTTACACGAACACATATTTTTCATATCTCTAGCTGCCTCCGCTTTCTCTTTTTTGGTTTTAACTGCCTTTGTGTCTGCTCTTGGCTTAATCGCCAGCAGTTACTCGAGGGTCTTAATTCAAGTGAACGCAAGTCATTGCCCTTTACTCCTTTTGTGCTTATCTTTGCATAGAGCTCTTAATGAGGTTTGAAATGTGTCACAGTAACTAATTTGATGATATTTTATTTCACTTTGTATACTTTCACCCCTTTCTATGTCTTGAACTTTGATCTGTTTGATACGGTAATAATAACTCTCAGGACAAATTAAATTGTTCTCATCTGACTGGAGATTTCTGTTTGGTTTTGGAGAGAATGAGATCAGTCTAAACCTCAGCACCTTTGTGAAACAGAAGTAAGAATGCCTAGTGCCTGCTTTTTTTCCAGCCTCACTTGACTGTACACTTTGTTAAAGAATAACCTGACTGAAGCTCCGTTATGATGCGTTACTGAGGGCTTGTGACTGCATGGAAGTATTCCAGTCTTGTGAGAAGTATTTAATTACTAGTGTAATCTAAATACTTAAGCTAAACATAAGAGAGAATCTTCTCACAGAACATAGGAAGATGCATGATGTGTTTGTGGTGATCATTTGGTTTAATGCCCGGTGCTGCTGATGCAGCAAACATGGCAGGAGCTGCCCCTTTACTTCCTGTGTGTGTGCAGTGCCCTGTATCATGAGAACCGTGGTTGTGGAGCTTTTGTTAACTAATAAGCAAGCTGTAGGCTTTATCCGAAGTACACTAAATGATAACTATTTCTTTTTAACTTCATAGGTACTGGAGCTGATAATGACCTTCATATAAAACAAGCCATAGTATTTATTGAAGATGCAATACAGGTAAATATAACTTGTTAGCTATTATGCTTCCTATTCTGGGTATTTGTCACACATTCTGCTAGCTTTTAAGTTTTTATGTGTTCAGGCAACTTCCATGTAATATCATCTTGATTGACAAAGCAAAAATCAGAGTTCAAAATTCTTGTGGTATGCAGGTTTCAGTGGACTTCTGCCTAGGAGAAATACGCTTTTCCACATAATGAAATCGTGTTGAATGAATAGTCTTCTCAAGGTTGTCAGAAGAGATGCTGGTTTGTGGAGTGGTGTTTGGGTTTGGGTTTGTGGTGTGTTTGGTGGGGGGTTTTTTGTTGTGTTTTTTTTTTTTCTTTCTTTGAGAGTGACTGGCCTTACTGCTAAGAGAAACTATCTGAGCAAACCCTGTGATTTTCTTCTAAATCTGACTACTTGCATAGCTGAAGAGCTGGTAGAGTTTAAGGCTAGCTTCAGGCGAGAAGCTGGAATCCTTTGACTTCAGCAGAACTTGGTGCTTTTCAAGTCTTCATTCTTTTTCTCTTCTTTACTGGCCGTTACTGCATATTCCTAGATCCTGTTAACCTCCCAGTTGTTAGTTGCAGGCAGTTGGATTGCAGAAGTGCAGTTCATCATTTCTCTCGCTACATTCGCATAGCTTTTGGTTGGGAGATTTCTGGGCATCAGATCTGTTTAGGGTGTGTGCACATTTCTAGAAGCAGATACTTCTCGGTGGAGGCCGAGTAACAGCAGCCTGGAGGCAGCTGCTGAGGGGCTGAGCAGATGGCTGCAAAAGCGGGCCTGCTGTGAAGAATCACGGGTGCTTCCTTGACCTTGAAGCATGTTTTGTTTAAAGACCTAGGCTGAGTTGTCATATTCAGAATGAATGTTTGCCTCTTATGGCTTTTTGGAAGAGAAAGACAAAAGAAAATCCATGAACGGAATGAAAGGAAGATAAACTACATGGGTGACCGTTTTGTCGAGAAGATAGAATAGGCAGCGAATTATTGCAGATGCTGTTATTTGTAATGATGCTGGTGCTTGCTTCGGATGACTGCCACACAGTTTGATTATCTGAGTGACTGTGTGGTCTTTAGATATGGAAAACTTCCTTAAAATCTTTCCTATTGCATGCATGTAGGCTACAGCTGTGGTCGTTGGTGACTGACACTTTAATAGCTAATACCTTGTACAATAATTTCTTTATCTTATTTCTCAAGACAAACTTTGGTTAGAACTTGGTTTATCTTGGTAACTTGATCTATGTCTTTGACACAGACTGAAAATAATACTTGAATTATCTTTGTTGCTTTCTGCCTTAAGTATAGATCTATAAATCACCGTGTCGACTCCAAATCCCTGTGGCTTTATCGATGGTACTACTCCAGAACTTGCCAGTGGTAAGAACTTGGTATTGTTTTTACTTTTAGGTTTAGAAGTAAGTCTTTATAAAAAAAATATTCTTCCTTTCTTTTTTGTTAGATAATTGTGCCTTTATCCTTACAAGAACTTACTGTAGGAAGCAAATGGATTGACTGCATGTGAACATGATAGAAGTGGAAAGCAACAGGGGTGCCTGTAAGGGCCTGTAGTGACAGGACAAGGGGTAACGGGTTTAAATTGAAAGTGGGGAGGGTTAGATTGGATATCAGGAAGAAGTTCTTCCTGGAGAGGGTGGAGAGGCCCTGGGACAGGTTGCCCAGAGAAGCTGTGGATGCCCCATCCCTGGAAGTGT